TGGCGGGGCGCGTCCCGCGGCCAGGCGTGCACGGGGCGCTGCGCGCGGTCCCGCTGAGCGCGTATTCCCGCGCGTATTCCCGCTGAGCGCCGCTTGTTGTGCGCGGGAGGTGCCGCACGCGAGCGGGCGAGGCGTTAACACGCGTGGGTGTCGGGTATCGCACAGGTGCAGGGCGCTGCACGTCCGCACTGGGCAGCAGAGGAAGGTGGGCGCGGCACGTCCGTGGCAGGCGTTGCACCTCTACGCTGGGTCCTGCACATCTGTCCCAGTACTGCACAGCTGGCGTGGTGTCAAGGCCACCGTGTGCGTGTCCCCGGGCATGGATGGCGTGGCCGTCCGGGAAACCCACGGTGCCGTGGAAAAATAATCACCAAACTGGCTGGGTGTGCGTCAGCGAGCACCCCCACGCAGCCCCCACGAAGACATGGCGGGGGGGGGTTGCCCCCTACTATCAGGATGGCAGCAGGGCGAGGCCGGCTCTGTGGGCACCAAGACACGGCTGGGTGCTGGTTCCTGCGTGGGGGTCCTGCCCCGTGGGCTCCCCCCGCCCCGGTGCAGGACACTGGGCGCTGGCAGGCACAGGGGGGGGCTGACACCACCCCCACCCCCCCACTCCGGGCTCTGCTCGGTGTCGCTAGATGGCAGCATGGCCCCGTGGCGTGGCGTGGCGTGGGGGTGGCAGTGCCACCGCTGTCCCTGTCCCCGCTCCAGGACAGGGGCAGTCACCCCTGGGTGCGGGGCAGGACACCCCCCCCCCCCTTTTCCGTGCTCTAGGTGCCACCACGGCCGGCCCCAGGGGTGCTGGTGGTCCTGGGGGGTCTAAAGCGGGTTTGGGGGGACAGGGAGGGGACCTGGGCCCCTTTGTCCCTGGTCCTACAGCAGCACAGCCCACTCCCACGCCCCGGACTCGGGGCTGTGGAGCAGGAGGCTGCTGTGGGCACCGCCGCTCTCTGGGGGTGCGGGTGGGGGGGTCCTGCTGGCACCCCCCAGCTGGGGGGCGGCAGGCTTGGGGCACCCCAAAGCCCTCTCCCAGGGTGCTGCCCTTGGGGTGGTCTTACCCTCTGCCGGCCCCTCCGCAAGGCCCTACACGCGTGGTGGTGGAAGGGGCGCGGCCTGAGGTCTTTCGTCCTCCCGCGGCCGCCGTAGCGACACCCGGAAGTGTCTCCATGGAGACGGGAGGAGCCCGGGCCGGGCCGGGGCAGTGATGGAGAAATACGAACGGATCCGGGTGGTGGGGAGAGGGGCCTTCGGGTGAGGGCGGCCCCGGGGGCGCAGGAGGGGGGGCACCGGGAGTCTGGGGGGGTGTCTCCAGGCCTTTTTAGCGTGGCAAGGCTTGTGGGGAGAGCGCCGGGCGTATGGCACCGCGGGGTGGAGTGGGAGGCCGCGTTACCATGGCAACGAGGCGCACGGGCCCTGTCGCCATGGCAACGCGGGGGGTCAGCCGGCGTGTGGCACCCTTGGGGGGGGGGGGGGGGGGGGGGCGGGCCTGGGGGGTGCCCAGGGGGCG